GAGCCGGGGAAGGACGGGACGGGGAGGGGGGGGGGGTCCCCCGGGCCGGCCGGCTGCCCGGCCGCCTGCGGGAGGGCACCGACGGCCCCGGGGAGCCGGTGCAAAGGGCCGGGGAGAAGGAGCCTCGCCCCGGGGTGATGAATGAGTCGCTCCCGCCCGCCGCACCGTAACCCGGGGCTGGGCTCCGTGTAGCCCGGGTTTGCCGGCGCAGGGTGGCCGGGGACATGTTACCGCGGGTGTATTGCTAACTGGTCTAGAAAGGAGGATGTGGCAGGGTCTGGCTTTGGTCGCTGGAATGACAGGTCTGTCCCCAGTCTGTCTCACTTGAGCAGGAATAGGAATCTCCTCTCCTCACTGACTGCAGACCCTCCCGAACGCAGAGCTTCACTCTTACAGACTAGAAAGCCTCTACAAAGCCCACAAGAGATTGACTGTTTATTATAGTTTTTAGGTAGCTCGGCTGGAAAGCCAAAGAAAGCCTGCTAGGAATGGAGTGACCGTTTCAAAGCTGAAAAGAAAAAAAAAAAAGAGCAGCATGACTGAGTTTGCACTCTTACCTTTCTCTGCTGTGGGAAAGAAAGGATCAGTCTCTGGAGCTTATCTCCTTCCCCCTGCACAGTGCTTCATTAGGCAAAGCATTTCACTATTCAACTTCGCTTGCAATTAACATTCTTTTTCTGCTGAGTGAAACAGAAACCTTCCTGCTAGCTACTGCATAATGGACGCTGGGACTTGCACTTGGGTGCAAGATTTTTTTTCTGGCTTTGAGGCTAAATTCATGCATCCCAAAGTCCAGTTTGTAAAACAAGGATTTTACAAAACTTGCTATGCCTAGAAGTGCTTTCAAAACTCTTTAGCACAATGTAAACGTTCTCCCTCAGTGCTGTTCATGCAAACTGCAGTTGCTGGGCATGTTGCGCTGTGGTGAAGTACATGCGACGTTCAGAAGTTTGCAATAACCCAGCTGGTGTGGGGACCAGCGTGGGGAAGATGTGCTGTCACAAGCTCGGGGGTGCGCTTGCACAGCCTTCCCAGAGCCGTGCCATGGGGACTGCCGCTGAAGGGCAAGTGCAAATGACCATAAACCTGCATTGTGAGCTGGTATGTGACTGCAGGTAATATTTCATTTAATCACACAGTTATAACAACACAAGCTCCAGTCCAGCGCTCTGTGGAGCCTGTGCTGGTAAAGCTCTTTGCTACAGTACAGGGTCGGGTTGGGGAAGGTCTGCAGCAGTGCCCATGGTGCCTGTGGTGCAGGCACACCCGTCTGACACAGGTAAAAGTAAACAGGTTGGGTGAAGACTGAGGAACACGTGATATTTTTTTGAAAGAGCTTTTTCAGTCATTCCACATGTTAACTTAATGGACCATTCAAGAGAAATATTTAAAGAATCATTATTCTTCTAAGTAGGGGGATACATGTCGTGTCTCTGCTCTGCAGACCAGTGGTGCCAACTGTTTTTTTGCTCCAACTCATAGTTTTGAATGCTTGAGATGGGCAAGACTGGATCATGCATATTCTTTCAGCCTTAGCCTGTTGGGTATCTGGCCTGCAATATGGGCAGCAGTTGATCAAAGGTTTTGGTTTTCTTTCTTCTCAAAGTCATAGTGAATATTAAAAGTGTTTCAAATCATCTACCTGGTTTATAGATTAAATAAATGCTTCCATTCATAAGCTCTAATTTCAATGGAAATACAGTATGTAAAAATACCTCTTCTAAAACCTTGCATCTGACACAAACTGACAGCTGCACAGGGTTCACACACGCAGTGAAGAATGGCTTCAAACACTGGCACCAGCCAACAGAAACCAACGGTGCTCACGGAAGGAGCTTTTCAGTAGGATTTGCAATTCATATTAAAGTAGTTGAAATAGCTCTGAAATCACAACCAGCTCTCAGGACACTCAGAGGGAGAAATGACTGCAATTTTCTCTCTTCCCCAAGACCTTGCATATGAGGCCAGTTCATGGTGGGCAGCAGGCACTACAGCTCTGTGTCTGGGCTCATAATCCAAGTCTTGGGAATACAGGGGTATGCTGAGGGTACAGTGTGATCTTGCCTGCGATCTTTGGCCCCTGCAGCTTCTCCCCAGAGCTTAAGCCTATACATTTTGGGTGCATTGTGTTATGAACTGGGGGGAGACATCACCCACGCAAGATTCCCCACTATGGCAGGCAGAGAAGCGGAGGCGAGCTACAGTCCTCAGCAGCCACTGGGCAAACCCACTCTTGGCTACATGATCTGCAATTCACCTCAACAACTCCTTCCTTCACAAATGATTTCAGCGTGAGAAAGAAGAAATGATATTCTTCTCCATGGTCACTCAGCATTCGTTTACCTGCCACCCTGCCATTTTCTGGAGACTTCCTGTTCCCTGGCAGGGCAATAAACATTATTAGTACAGACAGCAAGGAGGCGAGGTCCTGGGGTGTATAAGCAGAGCTTTATGGTATGTTTACAAAAGGCAGCCAGAAAGATGACATCAGTATGTACAGAAATGCAGCCCCCGCACCGGCGCTGTGCGTGACTGGGGGTTACGGTCCTCTGAAGAAAATGTGAAAACCTGCTGTGAAGTACAGCAGGGATAATTCTTCCTTTGCGGTTTTCTTTTTTTTTTTTCTTTTTCCTTTGCAGTTTTAAAAGCGCATCTTTCTTAACATGCCATTTGTAGTTAATGAGTATTCTGGGCCTGTTGAAGTCAGGAGCTTTGTCCCTAAGCTCCACATGAGAAGGTCTGGAGGGGTTGGATCCATCGGGACTGGCTCATGCTTCATCTCTGCTGGCATGTTTCTAGCCTTGCTCCCTTCTGCAATGCTTTTTTCCTCCTCTCGAGACCGTGTGTCTTGGCAGTGCCATTTCCCCATCTGATCCTTATCCTGCTCTTGGCTGCTGAACTTGTGGGGTGCGAGGGTGCGTTCCTGCTTCGCAGCCGAACAACACATCTCCAGGGCTGAGCCGCAGGAATGTGCTTCCTGACGAGCTCAGCGTCTGAAACAGCAGCCTGTGTTTGGTAACACAACGCGGCTGTGAATACTGAAAATGTTACTCTCTACCTCTGGGCTGGAGCAGCTAAAACAGGCTTTAAAATCACAAATTAAAATACAAATACAGGAGGAGAAAGAAGTTCATTCTGGAAAAAGGAAGACACGGTGTTCCGCAATGCTCATCACACACTCGAGCACATTTTCTCTAATGATGATTGACCCTTAGGAAGAGATTCAGGGGACCAAACTGGCCAAGCTCAGTTCAGTTATTGGTGAAAATTATAATCCATGAGCAGACGCCAGTGTTACAGCTGGCTGGGATGGAGCCAGCTCGCCAGGCACCTGCATTTATTGCGTGCTCGTTTACAGCCCACAGAACTTTCTCCTTATGACGCCAGGCTGCATGCATTTTCTTTTATGTTATCCTAACCCCGGGGGGGTTCACTGGCAATGCCAGTCAGTACTGGTGGTCGCCCCATGGGTCCTGTTTCCTGCACATTTTAGGGGTGCCTCCAGCATAGCAGCCTGCGGCAATCCAGGGTGCTCCCCTGCGTCCCTGCGCCCCTCTGATGGGTGGCCGGTCCCTACAGCCTGCCCTGCCCGTAGCATCCTCTTGCTGGGGGAACTGGCCAAGATCCATAATTCTGAGCTGCAAGGGGAGTCGGAGCTGTGAATTCGCACACGGGACGGTTTATCCCTGTGCCCACCCTTTGCAGGTTGAGGACGCAACCTTAGAGCCTAGAAGTGTCTTAGCTGGGTGCGAGGAGTCACCTGAGCCCTGATGTAGCCCAAATTCAGCTCTTTTCCAGTCTGTCCACCTCTGAGGATGGCAGCCTCCATCCTTAAATAAGCTGGGGAGGGTGGGTGAGGGGAGAGCTGCCCGCAGCGCTGCAGCCTGCCTGATGCCGAGGGATCGGCAGCACAGTGGGGAGCAGCCCATGGGATCTGCCTTGGTTTCCATTAGCTTGGTTTGCTGTGCTGCAATTTTTAACTCTATTACATGTTTTGTAAAAGGAGAGTTTATAAATGCTTGTCACCAGGAGAACAAAGTTACATAATTAAACAATTTACCAGAGAGTCTGTGGCTTTAGTGCAGTTCTCTGGGGTGATTCAATATTCCAATAAAAATACTGGGTGATACCATAAATATTGTAAAAGCCTCCAGATGGTTTCCAAGGGCTATGTCAACTGTTTATTGCATTCAAAGAGAAAAGAATAAGTGAAATCACAGGAAAGATAAAATTTAAATAAATAAAATAATGGGAAAAATAAAGCAAAAATATTTTCTTTCGTATTTTGAAAGCTCTGGAGGATGTTTTTGGCCAGCATGAGAGAAGACCATCATATTTACGAGAATAATGAACCGAGGGCCTCTGTGTGCACTTGCTTATAGGTCATATATGTATGTCTGCGGGGGCTGTGCAAAGATGCTTAGATAAAATCTGTCCACAACACGGGGTAAACCTCTTCATTTATTTGATTGTTTGTGGCATTTGCGAATTCCAGCAACAGAGCCCAGGAATGCTTCTCTTTCCCTGGCCAAGCTGTCAGGCTCCTGCAGCCCTGCCATGGTGAGGGCAGCTGAAGGAGGATGCCACAAGTGGGCAGAATTGTGGGATGGATTACCCGTATCATTGAAAACTTGGGAAGGTTGTTTAAAAGTTGTTACTGAAGCAAGATAAATATTTGCCGGGCATGATCCCACCGTGTAATGACAAGTAAGCTGTATGGAATGTGTTAATAAAATATAAATGTTCTGAAAAGGAAACAAATGTTGTGGATGAGAAAACAAGGACAAAACGGACTTGTGGGACCTCCAAAGGCAACAATTGAAAACATATTTACACGGACTGGGCTGAAGTGTCTTGTATCTATCTTCTGAGGAACATAAATTGCAGTGTGTGCAGATCACCCAGTAGAGTAGTAGGTTTTCAGTCTGCCATAAAACCCCAAATACTGCTTGCAACATAATGAGGTTTATCCATCTTTTACTAACGCGGAGATGTGGGGCTCAGCTGCTGGAGAAACGGGGTGGCCGCATGAGTGGCCTGTGCCAGCACCTGGGGCAGAAGCTTTGGTGCTGCCCAGCGCGGGGACCCGAGGTCACACCATGTCCCGTTGCAGGCTGGCGATCACCTGTAGCCTCCCCAGCCACAAACTGGGCAGCTGCAGTGGATCTGCACGGGCTCCAGTGAAGGCTTTTGGCACACAGAGCGCCAAGAGCCAGTGGTGCTGCCCTGGTGGTGCTGCCCTGGGGGTGCTGGGGCATCCTGGTGGTGATGCTCTGGGGGTGCTGGGGCATCCTGGTGGAGATGCTCTGGGGGTGCTGGGGCATCCTGGTGGAGATGCTCCAGGGGTGCTGTCCCAGGGGCAGTGCCCTGCCAGGCAGCTCTGAGATGGTGCTGGCGGCACCTTGGGGGGACCAGAAGACCCCACTTGTGGCCTTGGGAAGATGGACATCCAGCAGCTTGCTTGCAGGCCCCGGGGGCAGCTGCGGGTCTTACTCTTGCGCTGGCAGAAACACAGGAAAATGCCCCGGCAGGGGAAGGCTCTGGCATGAGTCCTACCATCCTGCAGCTACTTGGTATCCCACAGCAGAGGTGGGCATAGAGCAGCAGGACTTATGGGGGAAGCACAAATAAGGGTTTTGGAAGGGGCAGCACCGGGAACAACAAGAACGAGGAGGTGGGGGCGCCGGGCGCGCTATAGCGAGGGCGCCAGGGAGCGGTACAAGCGGGGGGGTGGAGCTCGGGCAGTTCGTAGGTTTCCGTCAGGGGCTACCGAAGATTGCCGAAGCGGAGGGGCGACGCGCATGCGCTCTGTGGCGGCGCCTCCTTGTGATGGCGGCGGCAGAAACGGAGGCGGGCGGCCTGCGCTCTGGCATGGC